CTCTCTCTCTCTCTCTGACAAATAAATAAATAAATAAAATCTTTAAACAACAACAAAAAATTCTACTCTTTGTACAAAACAAAACAAACAAAAAAAGCTAACTCATTGCCTTCTTTCCATAACCATTGCTTCCGCTTTAGTGGTGCATTATCCCCCTCCTGGATTACTGCAATAACATCCTTAACTGAAAACACTTCTACTTTTGCCCTTCTACATTCTCCACAGAAGCCAGAGTGATCTACTGAAAATGTAAATCTGATCACAGCATTCTGTGCTTAAAAACATCCAATGGTTCCCAATACACTTAAAATGAAATCCGAAGTTCCTTATTAGGGGCACCTGTGGCTCAGTCGGATAGGTGGACCGTTAAGCGTCTGCCTTCGGCTCAGGTCATGATCCCAGGGTCTTGGGATGGAGCCCTGCGTTGGGATCAAGCCCTGCATTAGGGCTCCCTGCTCAGTGGGGAGTCTGCTTCTCCTTCTCCCTCTGCCCCCCCATAAATATATAAAATCTTAAAAAAAAAAAAAAAAAGGACCTTAATATAACTTCCTGTATGATCTGCCTAAGGCTTCTCCCCAATCTCATTTCTGTCATCACACCCTTTAATCACTACATTCTAGCCAGACTGGCCTTATTTTTGTTCCTCCAAGAAGCTAAGCTCTTCCCTATCTCAGGACCTCCAGATATCCTTGCATATACCTGAGATACCTGTTCACTTCCATTCACTCTTCACCTGGCTAACTCTTATTCAATTTTTCTTCATATCACCATCAAGATTCCACATTTGTTTTGTCCACCTGGCAGGCACATTACTGGTGCCCAATAAATAATCACTCATTTTCGATTATCCAGCCAGTACTAACAAAAAAACAAAACAAAACAAAAAAACCAAGACAGTGGGGTTACACAAAGAAATGTAATTATATGCTGAAACTAAAGTATTAAAAATTATCTTAAAATCTGAATGTGTTCACAAACTGTTCATTTGCAAAACTGAGAACTCCAAAAAAAAAACTATCAAAATGTTGCCATAAAAAAAAAAAGATTTTTAGGGGCGCCTGGGTGGCTCAGTCGTTAAGCGTCTGCCTTGGGCTCAGGTCATGATCCCAGGGTCCTGGGATTGAGCCTGGCATCGGGCTCCCTGCTCCGCGGGAAGCCTGCTTCTCCCTCTCGCACTCCCCCTGCTTGTGTTCCCTCTCTCGCTGTGTCTCTCTCTCAAATAAATAAATAAAATCTTTTAAAAAAAAAGATTTTTAAATGAACCAAGGATAAAACATTGTCACAAGTGATTACCCCTGAAAGAAGATAATTAAAAACCCTGGGAATGATGTTTTTCTGCCCTATTTTTTGCTCTATGAAAAAATGGGAAAGAGGCTAAATACAAATAGTAACGCAAGCATTCAATAACTTAAAAATATGTTTATTAGTCTTTTCTGGCAAGGAAGGAAGGAAAGAAAGAAAATTCGTGGTATTCAAATTATTACAACATGTCTGAGTTAAATTCCATTTAAAAAGGAAAGAAAGTAGTGGGTATCGGGGTTGTTACAGTAAATCCCTGGAGAGGTGATAAGATGGAAAGAAAACATTACTTGCTCCCTTTACATCTAAGGCAAAGGCGTTTCCATCCTCACTCCGCACCCCCCCACCCCAGAATGTCCGGCACTGAACAATGTCTAATGGATTCTCTAGTAAAAATTCCACACTATCAACTCGATAAACCAGTGTCTCCATCATATCGATCCCTGCTACATCGTCCGCCTTTTACTCTCAGCGTAGCCGCTGATCTCTTCTCAATCCTAGGACTCGCTTTGGGTTGATCGCTTCCCTCCCAGGATCCCAAACGAGAAACCGCTTCTACGAAACGCAAACGGCAAACAGGAGGGGCGGAAAAAAGGACCGGAACCAGACTCACCTGGGGCTGCACCGTACTCGACAGGGAAAACATCTCCGGGCCCTCAGCGACCTCACCCGCCTGCCGAAAGTGCCCCTCTGTCCACGGGTCGGCGGGGAGGTGCTGAGCCCTTCTTTCCTTTTCTTTTCCCCTCTCCCCTTAGCTCTTACTCTTCCTAGAAACAGAAAATGGCCTCCCCTTCTCACAGCTGCGGCAACAACAGACAATCTGCCCCGGAAGGCAAGGCTCCAACGCAACACTACTTCCGGGGCAGGTGGGCAATACAGGGGAATACGCCGGTGGTTCCCCCTTTCCCCGACTGACGTATCTACTGCAGCAGCTGAGGTACCCTGGCCCGCAAACTAGTTGATGTTCACGTTGACTAATACAAGCGCGGGATCCCCAAGCTCTCTGGTCTTATTTTTTTTTTAAGGGGGGACGGCACTGACCCTGTTAAATCTTTGTACACTAACTTATCAAATCTTCCAATACATTCTTCTTTTCCGACTGGGCCTTGAGGTACGATAAACTCTTTTGCTACTATTTGGTGCTCTTTATCTTCCCCACAGTAAATCGAAAATTCTTCCTGTTGGTCCTAATCCGCTTCAGTCAGGCAAATTACATCCTGTTTATATGTCAGATGGCAGGGCCAGCCACGGACTTCCTGCTCATCCAGCTTTTCCACATTCTCTGATTTCCACTAGCCAGACCGAAGTGGCTTACATTTCTCGCGAGGGTGCGAAGTCGCGAAGGAGTAAAAAACAGACAAAACAAAACAAAGCAAAAGTGGGATGAGGGCAGGGTCCCACCAACCTCAATTGGAGGTCAGGAGAAACCTCAATTCTGCGATTGAGATTCAAGTCCGAGCAGTAGCCCCTTTCTCTTGTAGGCCAAAGACTCTGTAACTCCTCCATTATTGCAAATGAAATAATAGGGCCGCCGTCACCGCCCTCGAAGAGTCTGTGGTTGGTTGGAGAATTTCCCAACGTCCCCGCCCTCACCGCCATTGGGTACTTCCGCGCGGAGGAACAAGAGGTGACCGGGCGGGACTGCGCTGGGCTCGGCGCGGCGAGCGCGGCAACGCGATGACGTCACTGACGACGGACTGCGTGGGCGGGGTCTTACTTTGAACCCAGTTGGCGGGAGTTGTGGCTCGGAAAGGGCCCTAGCTGATGCTGCCGGCTTCCGTCTGGGCTGGCTTACGATGGAGCCCACTGCGGGGAGCGAGAAGGAGAGTGAAGGAGACGCGATGACAGGGAAGTGCGTGAATAGGATCCTGGTGCCAAGACCTCCCTCCATTGAGGAATTCACCATAGTGAAGCCCATTAGCCGTGGCGCCTTTGGGAAGGTGTATCTCGGGCAGAAAGGCAGCAGGTTGTATGCTGTGAAGGTAAGAAGTCGGGGAGTAAAGAAAGGGAAAGAGTCCGGACCTTCGGCCCTCTTTCCTGCCCCCGAATTGGGCAGGCCCCAGGGCCATAGGAGCCTTTATAGCCCTGTGATATGACTTCTTTCTTGGGGTGACAAGATCGCCGGCAGGCTGGGTTGTCTCGCCTCTGCCCCACCCTTCTTTTCACACCGCCAATGCCTAGGATACGCCAGGATTTCTGAATCCTTTTTACCACCTTGACCTTTACCGGGATTAAGTTGGAAACATTAAATTTGAAACAATTAGTTTTTTTAAGATTTTATTTATTTATTTATTTGACAGAGAGAGAGACAGCGAGAGAGGGAACACAAGCAGGGGGAGTGCGAGAGGGAGAAGCAGGCTTCCTGCCGAGCAGGGAGCCCAATGCGGTGCTCGATCCCAGGACTGGGATCATGACCTGAGCTGAAGGCAGTCGCTTAACCAACTGAGCCTCTCAGGCGCCCCTGAAACAATTAAAGACTAAACTGAAACATGTTAGAACGTGTCACTCCTTTATCCTTGCAGCAGTATATAACATTACAAAAGCACTCAAGAGCTTTCAGTGTATTTGAGGCTCTTCTGGCCACTCTTGGTCCTCACCCACTCCATAGTTTCAGGTTACTCTTATTTCAGCACTGACTGAACATGATAAAGGAAAGAAACCAGCAGTCTGAGTGCTGATGCAGTTTCAGCTTTCTGTTCAACATTGCTATGTGAATATCTACCAGGTATCTTGAAATTGTACTTGCCTCACATTGCCTGCTTCAACACTGAATCTTCTGTATTCCCTCTCTCCGTTTAATAAAATCACCTTCATCACTGTCATTCAGCCTAGAAACTTGAATCATTTTAACTTTACTTCATCTATATAACCAATGTCTCAACTAGTCCTGTCAATTCTGTCTCATATTTCTTATTATCTCTTCCATTCCATTCCCGAGACTATCCAAATACAGGACTTCATTTTTTCTTTCTTTTGGTTTTTTCCTACTCCCTCCCTCCCCTTTTCCCTTCCTCCCTTCCTTTTTAAAAGTACAAGTCAATTTTTGGTAAATTAAAGATTGGGTAACTATCAACACAATCCAATTTTAGAACATATCCATCACCCTAAAAAGATCTCCTGCCTGTCTGCAGTACCTCCCTCTAACACCCCTAGCCCCAGGATACCAGCAATCTACTTTCTATCTCTATAGGTTTGCCTTTTCTCTACATCGCATGTAGATGGAATCATGCAGTATATAGTCTTTTGCATTTGGGTTTTTTGTTTTTTGTTTTTACTGGACAGCATTTTTGAGATTCATCAAACCTTCATTTACATACCTAGTCTATTGGAATAGGCCTCTAAATAGAATCCCTAATTTTTTCATCCCCTCCTTAGGCTGTGGCTTGCAAGCTAAAGTCCAAACTCCTTAGAAAAGCAATCATAGGGCGCCAAAGTGGCTCAGTCGGTTGAGCGTCTGCCTTCGGCTCAGGTCTTGATCCCGGGAATCCCGCATTGCTTGGCTCCTCTTCAAACCTTACCTGACCTTTCAGACCCACTCCATTGAAATTAATTCTTCCTTGATTCATATGTTCCACCAATTTTTTGCTTTTCCTTCTACAATACTTCCTAATCAGTCATTATCAGTTGTTGAAATAAAAACAGCAATTCATTTTTTCGATGAATATTTGTTGAGTATCCCCTTTGTGTTTAGGATCTAGGGTGCAGTGGTGAACAAAACAAACATGCCTTCACAGAACTTCCAATCTAGTGAAATGATAGGTGAAATCATGTTACAGACTGACTTTGACAATTTCCCTCAATTTTCTTATGGAAGGATATAAGGCTGGAATTTATAGTGTATTAATTATACACATTAATATTGATTTTATTACTCTAATGAGTCTCTGGAAGCAGTATGTCTTTTAATCATCCTGACAATTGATCTCAATGTTACTGACTTCAGTTTAGTGCCCCAATTTTAATATAGATTATATTACAGTTTTGCTTCTGTACCAATTACCTTGAAATATGAAAAGAGTAATTTGTTATTTTCTGTAAGACAGCATTTGAGACTGTTAACTTTCAGTATTTTTAACTATTAAGATTTTTTTCTAGGCAAACAAACTTCCTATATTCTTCCTCTTTCTGACTCAGTTCCCATCCATCAAAGAATCAGAAGTTAAAGAAAATTTATTAGCTGCTAATTATCTGTGCCTAGGTTCCTGATTATCTGGGGGCTTATTAGGAACATTACCACCTTTGAATTTGTTATAAGAATAGTAGAATGGAATTTTTTTTCTACTAATATGTAGAGCACTAGGGAAGCATTTGTTTACTTCTTTTTTCCTTCTCAAAAGGGATGTGATACTTTTGCCACTTGATGCTAAAATAAGTAGTTCTCTTGAAGAAAGTTTAGTTTTGTTTTACCATATTAGCTGTTTTTCTGACAGTTTCCTGAGGGCAATGACAATGACATCTATGTTTTCTCTCTCTGGTTGTTTTCACAAAGGCAACTCTGAAACTTGAAAACACTTTTGTAATAAAAAATAAAATGAACGTACTGTTATGTTGTCTACCATAGGTTGTCAAAAAAGCAGATATGATCAACAAAAATATGACTCATCAGGTACAAGCTGAGAGGGATGCACTAGCACTGAGCAAAAGTCCTTTCATTGTCCATTTGTATTATTCACTACAGTCAGCAAACAATGTCTACTTGGTAAGTAAATAATTTTACATTTTTTTCTTTACACATTAGCAATCACTGAATTCATTGACTTAAGAATACAATTGGGGAGGGTGGCACTTGGCTGGCTCAGCCAGTAGAGCATGCAATTGTTTGATCTCAGGGTTGTGAATTCAAGCCCCACATTGGGTGTAGAGATTACTTAAAAATAAATCTTTAAGGGGTGCCTGGGTGGCTCAGTTGGTTGAGCGTCTGCCTTTGGCTCAGGTCATGATCCC